TATCCTTATATTATAAAAATATAAAAAATAAATTGATAAATTAGTAATATTATCCAAACTCAACTACTTCAATACAATAAATATTTGATAATACAAATGGAAATTATTTTGTTATAGTTTTAATTAAAAATAATGAATTTTCTTTTTTGTGGTGAATAATTTAGTTAAACACGTGTGAATAATTTAATATGACGGTTGTTAATTGATACAATAAAATAAAAGCATGTTGGATAGAAAGTGCATCAACTTTCACTTGACTCATAATTCATTGGTAACCCAAATTCAACCTTTTAATTTGAAGGTAGAGCAGCCCATGATCGAACCCTTTAATAAATTTATTAACTTTCAACTATTAAGTCATTGAATTAAAAAACAAATATTTACTTCAAACATTTTTTTTTTTATCACCTTTAATATAAAATTTGAATTTATTTTGATTGACCAAATTTAATATATATATATATATATATATTAGCAACTCAATTAGTTGGTGAACAAAATATATATACGACCAAAGATCGAAGCTTTGAACTCCTCCATCCTCAAAACCGTGTTAAATCATTATCAACTTAGTATTTAATTAAAACCCTATCTTTTTAAAAAAATGGAAATAAAAACTTATTAATTTAATTAAAAAAAATCACGATAACTTTATATAACATAAAGTATTAAAGCCAAGAATGCATTATTATAAAAAAACAAAAAAAATAAAGGCTAAAATAATGCACATTCAATGAACATAGAAGTATAAAATAATTAAAAGAATTCCAATTAAAGAAGAAGAAAAAATAGATAAAAATGGATTTTTTTTTTTTTTTTTTGATATAGGGCTTGGAGTTGACTTTGGAATATGAAGTCATTTAATTTATATCCTAAATTTTGCATGCTACGTATTACAACATACATAGTAATTATTATTAAAACCTTGTACGTAGATATTTTAGTTTTTTTATTTTGAGGTCAACCCTTTGACTTTTCAAAATTTCTTTGTTTTTAATTGAGTTGGAAACACAAGTGTAGTTGCAAGTTGTAAAAAGAGAGACCAAATATTATTATAAATCCACCCTTAAGTTGGTGTATTTAACAATATAATAATATTATAAATCAAAGCCGTTTTTAATTATTTGTTACAACACTCAGAAAATAGGCTAATATTTAAAAATTATGATGTCATAAAAAATTTGATATATAATATCATAATTGGAAATTTTACCGTCAGTATTAATTGATTGATATTTATGGTACTAAACGTTATGTAATTTATTTATTTATTAATTAATGGAATGTTTGAAGGTAGTTCTTAGTATCCCTTAATGGCACGTGCTGAATATAATTAGAATATGAATTTTGATAATGTTCCAAAGTTTTGATGGCTAATCAAAGTAACTTTTTTCTTAAAGTTACATTAAATAATAAATTATACCTTCAAAGATTTGATGCCTAACCTAAGTGAAGGGCTGCCATTTTATTTTTAATATTATATATTTTTCTAGAAACTTCCTTTTTAATCAAAATCTAAAATATAAATAAATAAGGCTAAAAAGCAACTTTTTAATTTTTTGAAAATTAAAAATCGACTAGACTTCCATTACGAGGAAATTTAAAGTTAAACCACGAGAGCTTATGCTAAAAGCAAGTCGAACACGACTCTCCACAATGATATGATATTGTCCACTTTGAGCATAAACTCTCGTGGCTTTATTTTGGGCTTCCCCAAAAAACCTCAGGCAAACAGAGAGGGAGTATTCATTGATTATAAACCATGATGATTCCCTAAATTAGCAGACGTGGGACTTTTATCGTCCAACAAATTCAATTGTATAATTAAAAAAATGAAGAATGTCGAACCATCGTTAATAGAAAAATTCTGAATTTAAATAACTAGTAACAAATGTTTATTAACCTAACTCGTTTTTCCAAGTATAATAGTTTTAATATGAATTGACTAATGACTCGTATTAATAAAATGAAAAAGAAGTAATAAGCGTCTTATCGATGGTATGGTCGGATATGAGGGATTTAGTGGATGAGTTGAATGTGTATAATTTAACATACATGTGGCCTTTGCCCTAAAAAGTCAGCCACGGTATTCCCATTTATTTATACATGAAGATGATGACAACAACATAAAAGGAAAAAGAATTGGCTCCATTGATGAAGCTAATTTGAAGCAGCTGTGGAGTAAGTTTCCTCTGACTGGATTTTGTCAACGGTTTCGAACCCATTCCCTGGCTTCCCAGAACTTGCCCCCCTTTTTTCCTTCTCCTTTGCTCTATAAATCTCTCACACTTTGGCCTCCAATTCTCCACTAAACCCACAACAGGCGAATTTGGAGGCTAAAATGTACCAAAAGGGTGTCAAGCATCTGTGTGACAAGGGCTTGAATAAGCTCCCTCTCAAATACGTCCTCCCCGATTCCGAGCGCCCGGCCGCCCCCTGCCAATCCGCCAACCTCGATGTCCTGGGCACCATCGAGCTACCTGTCATCGACTTTGCCGAGCTCTGTGGCCCCAACCGCCGCCATGTCCTCCTCTCCCTCACCAAAGCCTGCGAACAATATGGCTTCTTCCAGGTCAGTTCTGTTAGATGATAAAAGTCCCACATCGATCATGAATTTATAAACAAAGAATACTCTCTCTATTGAAATGAGGCCTTCTGGAGAGCCCAAAGTCCCAAAAGTTAAGTCATGGGAGATTATGCTCAAAGTGGACAATATCATACTATTATGGAGAGTCGTGTTTATCTAACAAGTTCATGGATTATTACTATATATATATTATATTTGACGCTTCATGTTCTTGATTTGATATGGCAGTTGACAAACCATGGAATTTCAAGCGAGGTGATATCAAGCATGAGAGACGTTAGCTCACAATTTTTCGAGCTTCCATACGAGGAACGAGCGAAATACATGTCATCTGACATGCATGCGACCGTGCGATACGGGACAAGTTTCAATCAAAACAAAGACAATGTTTTCTGTTGGAGGGATTTCTTGAAGCTGACATGTAACCCTAATGACCTTCACCAACTTCTCTCCCGCTGGCCGTCTTCTCCGGCGGGGTTCAAAGACTCGGCGTCGACGTACGTGGAGGAAACCAGAGCGCTGTTTCTCGGTCTGGTGGAAGCCATTGTTGAAAGCTTGGGAGGTATGGAGAAAGAAGAGGAAATGGAAGAGTTGTTGAAGGAATTTGAAGATGGAAGCCAATTAATGGTGGTGAATTGCTATCCACAATGTCCTGAGCCAGAACTAACGCTGGGAATGCCGCCGCACTCTGATTATGGCTTCCTCACACTTCTCCTTCAAGATCAAGTTGAAGGCCTTCAAATTCATCACCAACAACAATGGGTCACTGTTCAACCCTTGCCCAATTCATTCGTCGTCAATATCGGCGACCATCTTGAGGTGGGGTTTCGCAAATTTCGCGTCTTATTAATATTACGAGTCATGACATGATATTATTCACTAAATTAGTCAACGTAGGACTCCATCTCAACAATTCTCAACCATTAAATTTTTACAGATATTCAGCAATGGAAGGTACAAGAGTGTGCTACACAGGGTTCTGGTGAATGCAAATAAGCCGAGAATATCGGTGGCGACATTGCATAGCCTTCCTTTTGACTCGACGATCAAGCCGTGGCCAAAGCTCGTGAATGAAGAGAATCCACCGCGTTACAAAGACACTGATTTTGGTATCTTCCTCGAATATATCACCTCTCGTGAGCCTAAGAGGAAGAACTTCTTAGAGTCTAGGCAAATTATTTATTGAAATATGTTTAGTACAATAATGTCAGATTTTTAAATTTTTTTTAAAAAATATTTTGTCAAAGATTACGTTGAGATTAGGGTATTAATCAAGGTTATTTTGTTGGTCTCCATCCGTAAAAAGTAAAAGTCAAACAAACCCTAATTTATATGATATATATATATATATATATTATATTAAAAATGTAATTTTTGTTTATTTTTATAATGAAAGCTATTATTTTTTGAAACCCCACGTCAAGTTTACATATATTTTTACTATAATATTATTATGTATTATTTTTATTTATGAGATTGAAAATTATGAATTTTAAAATATAAAAATTCTTCATTCCAATTTTGGAATTTCGGGTCAAGTCCGGCGGTTTAAGTTTGATCCGTGATGACTTGACCCGTGTAGACTCATGTTTCTAATTCGACTCGAATTTTGTTGACTAGATTAAGGTTAACCCTTTTCGTTGAATTTTGGCTCTTTGTTTACAATTCATGATGTAACGTATAGCCGCGACTAACAGGGTCGTTTTTAGCTTCCGTGTCAAAGCAGGCCCTACATGAATTTCTCACTTTTTATAATATATCTAATCGATTAAATTATTGATGGTTTGATTTAATTTATAATTTTTTTTTCCTTCTCGTAAATATTATAGATTTCTTAGCACTCGTGAATTCTAGCTGTCAAGGGACACGACAAAAAGAAAATTAGACAATGAAAATGGTTGACCACCACAACATTATTAAGTGACCTTAAATAAAGTCAACTAAATGCGATTTTATGGCTGCAACTAAATTGAGGTCAATATGGGCTTTTTTTATTACCCGGTTGTAATGGGCTACGTTATTTCTCGGCCCATAATCATTGGGCCGTGGCCCGAACGAGCTTCCTTAATGGTGGTTGTAAAAATCTGGAAAGACGAATTTAGCCTAATTAGTTTAGGTCTATTATTAACCCTGAAAATATTCAGACAAGTCCATTATAGTTTTATTTAGCAAATTTATGTAAATTGATGAAATTAAAAAATTAGGGATAAAACGGTCAAGGCATTTTTACCAACTTTGGCTCGAGGATGACCAATGGCGGGGCGCCACGTTGAAGATTCAGTTGGGTTGTCGCAGATGGGCGACGTGGCGAGTGCTGTGAGCGAGTACAGCAGAAAATAGGTATTCGCAACGGTTCGAGGGCGGGATTTCTCTGTCTTTGTCTTGCATTTGCTTAGAAATGGCGGAAAATAATATACCGCTTTCCCAAAAATGAAATGACCAACGTTTTCTTTGTCTCTCTCTCTCTGTATCAACTATATGTTCTTGTTGTCTTCTAGTCATAATACTTTTGATCCAACTCTGTCTGTTATTGGCAATGGTGACGATGATCAAAATGAGGAAGGGATTGGAACAATTTCTGCGGTGATTTGATTGAACAATTGAGAGTCCGTGAGAGAGAAATTGAGAGAGGAAAATGTTCAGGTTGCACAAGAATCGCCAAGCGAATTCGAAGGAGAAATATGATTTCAAGCTCTCCAACTTCAAGGCAATCCAGGTACTTATTTTATTTTGAATTTTAATGTCTCTCGAGTGTAATATGTTCGTTTTCGTTCTTTGTTTTGATAGTTTTTAGTGTAGGGTTTAAGTTTTTTTTGACATCGCCTAATTTTTTTGGGATTACGAATTCGCTCCGTTGTTATCTGAGCTTCTCGTTCTGATTAATGACAATGATTGATGATCTTGGCTTCTCGTTACGGATTCGCTCCACTGCTGATTTCTGTTTAATGCGATATTCAAATCTTTTTCCTGACATGAATGGAGATGTTTATTTGTTTTTCTTTTTGTTGCTTGTACGAAAACAGGTACCTAAAGGTTGGGACAAGCTATTTGTATCTGTAACCTCAGAGCAAACTGGGAAGACAATTGTCAGGACAAGCAAAGGATCAGTCCGTAATGGAAGTTGCCAGTGGAGCGAGTCTATATCAGAATCCATTTCGGTTTCACAAGATGAACCTTCTAAGGAGTTTGAAGATTTTAATTACAAGCTGGTTGTGGCCATGGTAGGTACTGTGGTTTGTCTTTTTAGGAGTAAACCATTTCTATAAGCAATTATTCCTCATGCCAGCCCTGTGTTGTTTTCATGACCATGCTCTTTGTCTTTCACTCTATAATATGATGACTACTTGGTCTAATTTAAACCGAATCTCCAATCACAGGGATCATCAAGATCTAGTATTCTTGGAGAGGCTATGATCAACCTGACAGATTACACAGATCCTAAAACTTCTTCTGCAGTCTTACTTCCACTGAATAAGTGCAATCATGGGACTATTTTACAAGTAACCTTTACTTTTTAAACATTCTTACAGGATGGGATGGTTTTGTTCATAAATTTTATCTAGGAGTCCAGGCTTTAAAACGTTGGCTTTGTTTTGTTTGCAGGTGAAAATCCAGTGCGTAACGCCAATATCAAAAGTAAGGTCTGTATAATGGGATGGTTTTGTTCATTCTTGTGAATATTTGATTATATGTTTGGCCCTTAAAATTATTGAACACCTTTCAGGAGTAGAAGAATTAAACAGACAAATTCTCTAAAAGACGACTTGAAGAAAGAAGGTCACGACTCGGATAGCTGCTCAGATATTACAGATAGCCAAGTGTCTGGAAGTATTGGATCTTCCTCTGGTGCAGATTTATACTCTAGCTTTCACTCGGGAGATGCTAGCAGCACGGTAAGATCTAAGATCGTTTTTGCCTTCACAATTTTTCTGTTTTTATACTTCTCAAATACGGTAATTCATGTTTGGTGCCTCTACTGTATTAGTTCTTGCTCGTTTAATCGAATTTCTGTCATTATATTAGGCTTTGATCATGTTTTAGATTACCATTTGCATTCTTAATGCGTTATTTAATGAGGCATAACATTTTTTTCCTAATAAACAATATGAGGAATTTTGTTTATGCAGGACCCTGTTCCTCATCTAGACCATGGTACCATGCAGATTCATTGATTGTTCTATATATTTTGATTACATAATGACTGACATATTTTTGTATCTGTTTGTAGGAAGCAAGTTACTCTGCTTCGGATTCACACATCGGCAATGATTCTTCTGAGGCTTATGATTCAGTAGAGAGTGACGCTACAAAAAACAATTACAATGATATTCGAAGACAAGACTCGGTGTGCTCACAGAACAGTGGTTCAGGTAATCATTCTTAAATTTTATGTCAAGATTTTGCAATATCATCTTCAGGAATGTCTTACCTTTCATGTAAAAACTTTTTGGAAGCAGCAGAAACAACGACTACTGAGGAACTTCGCGCTGAAGCTAGGATGTGGGAGAGCAATGCCCGCAAACTGATGGCTGATCTTGATCAGTTGAAGAAAGAGTTTTCAGATCAATCTGAAAACCAGAAAAGTTTACATGCTGCACTTTCAGCAGCAACTGCGGAATGTGATGGTTTGAGAAAAGAACTTGAGGAACTGAAACCGATGACTGAGAAGTCGACTCAAAGACAAACAAGCATCGCGGATTTATCATATCAAGATGGTGAAACAAAAATCTTAGATGAATTGAAAGATGAACTGAAGTTCCAAAAAGAATCCAATGCTGATTTAGCTCTGCAGCTAAAGAGAAGTCAAGAATCAAATATTGAGCTTGTGTCCGTTCTTAAGGAGCTAGAAGAGATTAATGAAAACCAGAAATTGGAGATAGAGGAACTTTTGAAACAGCAAAGAAATTATGATGATTACGAAAATATTAATCAAGAAAACAAAAAATTGATGCTTCAACTGGAGCATGTGAAGGAATCAGAACAAAATCTTCAATTAAAGATTGAGGTTCTGGAGAGAAACTTGGAGGAAACCAAACTTGATTTGCAGAAATGCGAGGTCTCCAACCAAAGATTCCCTCAGGGTACAGACGGGGAATACGATAGTACGCTTCATTCTGAGGAAAATTTAGTGGAAGACATTGAAAGATTGAAAGAAAAAGTGCAGGAGTTAGAAAAAGATTGTAATGAATTGACAGAGGAAAATATGAACCTCCTGTACAAGCTTAAGCAAGCAAATAACGACTCTAAGGGGGGAGAGTTGGCTTTGAACTCCACAGCTGGTGAGCTTTTGATTGAGAATAACGATGATCCTTTCAGTAAAAATGTAGATAGTAGAGAAATTGAGCTGGAAGTCAAAGTTGAAGAGCTCAGTAGGGAATTGACTGAGAAAAAGATGGAGATTGAAGAACTTGAGCACAACATTTTGTCCAAAGACGACGAGATTAAGATCCTTGAAGATTTGCATAACAAATTGCAAGCTGAGTATTCTGGTCTTCAGAAAGAAAAAAATCAGATGGAGGAACAAATGGAAGTCATACATGGAGAAAGTGACATCAGTGCTAGAAGCTTAAATGATTTGAGAAATGAAGTAAACACGCTTAGCAACAGTGTGGATTTGCATATTTCTGCAAACAAGATTCTTGAAAGTAAATATTCAGAGCTTCAATGTGAAAAACAAGAACTTGAACTCCATATATCTCAGATCGAACAAAAAAGCACACAGTTGTCAGAAAGCATATCTGTTTTGGAATCACAACTAAAATATATGACGGACGAGAAGGAGTCAATTCGCCTTGAGTTAGAGAACTTTAAGTCTGAGGCAGTGGCTCTCCAGGATGAGGTTGATAGACAGAGACTCGAGATAGAGACAGAAAGTGTTGATTTGAAACAAATGTTGAATGACTTGCAAAACAAATATGCAGAGGCTCAAGATAAATGTGAGTACCTGCAAAGAGAAAAAACGAACTTGGAAGCTGCAGCTGAGCATCTCTCTGAAGAACGAAATTTTCTTAGAGAATCAAATGGAGAGCTGAAGAAAAAGAATTTCGAGTTGCATGAGGATTATTTCCGCTTGGAATCGAAATTGAAGGAATCGCTTGAAAGGTCCGCCCATTATTTCATAAGAGTTGATGATTTGGAGGATAATCTCTTTCTTGGGTTGGAGGATTTAACCTCAAAAGAAAGATTCCTATCTTCGGAGTTAGATTCAATCGTTGAAGAGAACATAAAATACAAAGAGAAATGTTCATTGATTGAAAGCTTGTATAATGAGACGTATCTGGAGAAGACAACTGAAGTTCAAGAACTTCAAGCAGCGGTTGTGCACCTGACCATGGAACTTTCAGCTACAAGGAATGATCTCAACGTCATGGAATCTAATGAACAGTTACTGGCTCTGATCAGTGAGCTTTCCGTGTCAAAAAAAAACCAAGAGAAACTGATGGCTGACCATGAAGAGTTACTGAAGCAGTTGGAAAATCACAAATCACTTGAAGTCAAACTTAAGAACTCTGTCGATGATCTTGAATTAAAGCTTTCTTTTTCTGAAAAAGAACGAAAGCAGCATGAGGAAGAATTAACTTACTTAAAGCGTCTAGAACGATCTCAATTCCTTGAAGCAGAACTGAAACGTTTGAAGGAGGAAAAACAGATCCAGCGGGAGTCTAGCATTGTAAGTGTTCAAGGTTTTTCCAATACCAACGGCAAAAAACATGCCCAATAAAGACATGAAGCTTCTTAAAGTTGGTCTATTTTACTATTCATTTAGTTTACAGGGATGGCTTTATAACTTCTTACTTTCTAATCTCGACAGGATGATAGTGGATGCGATATTGATGTTGAAGGTCCTAATGTTGCTGAAGCTGAATCAATTGAAAGAATTCAGTTGCTCGAAAAAGAACTTGCTGAGGTTTTGGAAGCAAACAAGAAATATGAAGATCAGCTGAGCAGGTAAGTGCAAGACGAGCTCGGTTTTATATTTGTTACATTACAACGTGAACTGTTGTACTTAAGTGAGTGGAATCTATTAAGTTATTCCCTATAGAGTTTCCTGGCACCAAATTCCCAGTTTTAGATGTTGAATTTTTCCATATCTCTTTGCATCATAATCAGGGTCATTCAAGACGATCAAAACAACAATGAAAATTCTCCTATACCAACAGTTGGAGGCGATGTAATGACGAAGGAAGGATATGAAAGCATTAACTCGGCTCTAGAGGAGGAGCTAAGAGACCTTCGTGAGCGGTACTTCCACATGAGCCTTAAGTATGCTGAAGTCGAGCAAGAGCGTGAGGAACTTGTTCTGAAGCTGAGAGCACCCAAGAGCACCGGAAGGAGTTGGTTCTCATGAAAGTCCAAAAATGCAAGTCTTCACTCTTTCCTTAGCTAATACGCACCAGTCTCGGGGAGTTTCTCGGTAGTCATTTTTCAGTTCTCAAATCATGATTTCAATCAAGACTCGAGATTGAATCCTGCTGGAAAACTGGTTTTAGGCTAACACGTGGAAGAGTGCTTGGTTGTTTGAAAAGGGAGGAAATGGAGATTGTGATGAAAACTATTCCGAAATTGAAGAAATCAGTTGGCAATGCATTTCCATTGTTTCAAACAAGTTACTTTGTGTGAAGTAAGGCAATAATGTGAAAGAGCCATATATGAGTACACCACTCTGGGAGTCGTTACTCTTTGTAGATTTCCCCCTCCTATCATAGTCTACGTAGTGATGATGGGGTGAATGGTATTGGAGCTTGGAGAGATATAATAGCTAAAGCAGATTGGCACTCACTTGTGGTGTTCTTCCGTTGCTTCCTCAGGTATCCATTTGCCTTGCTAATCTCAGCATTTGCCTTGTAGATAGACGATGCGTACATGATGATTTTGCTAAAAAGAATGTGACATTGGCAGGTTTGTAAGGATACCTCTGTGGAGCAAAAACCTGATGTAGGTTGTTGAGAGAGGCAAATGCAATGCAGGAAAGGAGCAAAAAGGGAGGTAATATTGTCACACTTGGAACAGAATACGATGGTGGGTAAGAGTATATCCCCTAGAAGATGCTGAATTTGTTCATGCTGCCTCCATTTTTCTCTCTTTTTCGTTGTTGCATGTCTTGCTTTTGGCTCACGTTTCCAGTGGCCGCACACCGCTCCTGGGTCACATTGATTTGCCTTCCTTCTCTGCCCTGAAAATCTCCTATAACAAACCAATGCAGCAGCTTCTTTATCAAACCCTTCTTACAAAAGCATAACCCCACCACCACTCTCTTCCACGCCCCTCTCACCCGCCAACCCCAACGGCGGCCGACGGCGGTGGAGCTTCTGATGCTCCCAATTGACCAATTTTGGATGAGAATATGATATGAAGGTTGCCTGAAACTTTTGTGTGTCTTCTTCAGTGGGGACAGAAGATCTTCCTCATTTCCTCTGTTAAGGGCAACTCCCACCCTTCGGCATTCCTCCAAATTGCCTCACTCTGTTAAGGGCAACTCCCACATCGAGAAAGTTCAGTATTTTTCGACTCAGTGACTTGGATTATATGCAGCATTGTTTTATTCTTTATTTTTTTTTTTCTTGATTTGCTTTCTAGTAATGCAACACTTGGGTGGTAGCTAGCTCATTAAATACACACTCGTATATGTATGGCTATGGCCACCTGAATTTTATCAATGGAGTGTCCTCTCTCACTCTCTCTCTCTCTCAGTTGTTGGAATTTTAGATGATTACAAACCAATTTGATTATTTTAAAGATGAATTTAGTTTGTTAAACACTCTGTTCTAAGAAAAACATGTTTGATCATTCAAATTTATTAAGTTAATTCAAATATTTATTACAAGTGTACGAGTAAAATTCTTAACGTAGTAGTGTGAAGCTGCTCGTGTTTTCTTAGTGGAACTATGAACACAATTTGTACCATAAATTTTGAAATGTATACGAGAATACAAATTAATTTATATATTGTTGCAGAAAAACGACGACGTATTGGTTTTTTTTTTTTTTCTTTTCCAGTTGGAGTCCGTATTTCCGTTCCGTATTGTTGCAAGATTAGAGTAATGGGAAAGGCTGCCCGGTCTGCCCGTCTCTGTGCAGGCCGCCATCTTTATCCTTTTCCCTCCATTGCTCCACACTCAGCTCAGACTGCGTTATAATTCCAGAGATGCGTTTTGATGCTACACCGTCTTCCTCTTTCTTTTCTCTCTCTCCCTTCACTTTCTGGTAAAAGCCTCTTCAAAACCCTAACTCCAATTTGTTCCGATCTCAGTCTCTTTCTCTGTTTCTCCATGTCTTCTCACGGCGATACTTGCGATCCACTGCTACATTCGTTGTTCCAGAGTTTGCTTTTTAAATTCTAGGATTCAGAGTCTCGTATTTTTCTGTTGAATTCTAGTTTCAGGACTGATTATTATTAGGTATGAAGCGGGAGTTGGCTTTTGATTTGGAGGTTCAATCTCAGCTTGAGGGGGATCTTGGTCATACTCGAAGTGAGACTCTAGCTGAGGTGAGGTCGGGTAGCTATTTAGACGAGGCTGCTCCGAGTGGTAGCTGCAAGAGATTTAAAGGCGCTGTTGTGAATGGTCTGATTGTATATACTAGGGGAAGGAAGTCTCCGATCAATGTGTACTGTGGGCTGTCGGAGAATGATAATAGGAAGAAGTGTTATAGCGGGGTTGAGCAGGAAATTCTTGGAAGCTTGGAAGTTGGGAAGGGCTGTATGAATCAGGAGGTTCAAATTCAAACTATAGTTTCGGATAAATTGAATTGCAATTCGAAGAGTTCTGACTGTAAGAAAGAGTCTGATGGGGCGATGGAAAAATCTGGAGATAAGGAAGAAGGAGCGGCGGGGAATCCTGAAGTTACTTCAAAGGCAAGAAAAGTTGAGGAAAGATTGTTTAGGTGGGGAATTAGGCGCGTTACACGCTCCTCATTAAGATCGAAGGTTGAGCTCGAGGAAGTCACAGTCACCCCAATTACAATAGGATCTGTTAAAGAGGAAGTTATTCCAGATGTCGGTGGAGAAACAAATGATACAGTCAACTCAGTGTCAACTCCGAAGAACAAGTTGGAATTAAAAATGTCCAAAAAGATTGCATTGAACAAGAAGCCAATGACTGTGAGGGAGCTGTTTGATACTGGTTTGCTCGAGGGGGTACCTGTCATCTACATGGGTGTAAAGAAGGTTTTGCTCATTTAAATTTTCGAATTCTATGTATAATTCTCAGTATGTTCAACCATTTAGAATTGGGTGTTATATATATATATATATATATATATATATATATATATATGTATGTATGTATGTATATATATATCTGGCTTCATTTTCTTGCTGCATTTTGATCTCAGGCATATGAACACGGCCTGCGCGGTACAATTAAAGATGGTGGGATTTTGTGTACATGCTCATCCTGCAATGGATGCAGAGTCTGTAATCTCTCTGGATTTAACATAGGAATTCATGAAATGGTTTTTGTTAGTGTTTTCTTTAATTTCTTTTTGTTCAATCTAGGTCATTCCTCCTTCACAATTTGAGATCCACGCTTGTAAACAATATAAACGAGCAGCACAGTATATATGTCTTGAGAACGGGAAGAGCCTACTCGACCTGGTGAGAGCATGCAAGAGAAGTAGGCAGACACTTGAGGCCACGGTACAAAGTCTGATTAGCTCTTCGCCTGAAGAAAAATGTTATACGTGTAGAGAGTGTAAAGGTGAAATTTTGGTTTTCTATTATTTGTCGCCACTGGCAGACGTCATGATAGGCGCAACCAAAACCAAGTAGTTTAGAAGATTTATAATCTGTTAGATAATTAGTGACGATTTCTAGGATGCTTTCCTTCATCCATTGGAAATGTGGGACCTTTATGCCCATCGTGCGAGGAATCAAAGCGATCTAAGTGTACACAGACACTGCCAATGCCCCTCACTTCCGCAATTGATAAGAGACCGAGGTATGGCATCTACTTCTTTCAGCTTAGGACCCTTTTCCTATCACCCAAACCCAAATGCTCCGTTAATGCTATGGGTTCTGGAAATTTAGTTAGAATTTTATATTCTTCCCTGGTATGGCTTCTATGTATGACAATGTATACAGTAATGTAGAGTAATATTATTCTGTAAAAATTCTCCACGACAGCTAGTACACGAACTGCTTCTCAAAGTATCTTAGTTGCAACTTCGGGCCAGGAAAACTCTTAAGATAGTAAAACATTTAAGTTTGTGAATTGGGTAGTGTAGCGCTTTTAAGTAAAGATGGGATACGTAATGCATGTAAGATTGATGGTACTATCTTCAACAGTGTAATTTTCTAGGACGCCACTAATTACACTGAAAATGCGGATTCTGTAAATCTTTCACGATTTAGAACATGAATGCACAGAAATGTCATCTTCATTTTTTTTTCTTTCTTTAGTATAGTGTTAAGACGTTACTTTGGTTTTGCAGGTCAACAGATCCAACCCCATCAAAATCATCTGGAAGTGTTCCAGTATATATCTCTTCACGATATAAACGCAAATGGGTAACAAAAGCAAAGTAAGTATTGTTCTCTTTATGTGCATCGTACACTATGGGCTATATTTTTTTTTTTCCGACTTCCTCTCCATTTTTTCCCGACACTTTTGGGGATTGAAGTATTAAATTTGAAATTCCTGCCTTTAAGTTAGCTGTATGCCGATTTCTTTTCCTAAGATACTCAACTTGGTCAAACTTTCAGGTCAAAACCGTCCGAATACATTTCCATCTCAAGGTCCCCCAAAAGTGCACCAATGCGTATTCCTAAAAAGAATAAGAGTGCATTGAAGATGAGGAAGAAGTAAGTACAGTTGATCTCTAGATTACTGTTTTTAATGCCGTGGTTTGGTGAACCATTTAAATCCACCGAAAAAGGCTGCATCATTTTTCTGTCCAACATTTCATCTTTTTAATATCTTTATTTTAAGTTGCAGGTCATTGAAACCAGCTTCAATGCTAAAATCCTCCCAAAGTGCTTCAAAGTGTAGTTCTTCATTAGCTAAAAATCAGTGGAAAATAACAATGAAGTTAGTTGTTTATCCTTTGTTGTTATTTAATTCTTAGTGGCCCAAATTTCCTTCTGTTTCCATATTATTGAAGGAAATACCTCTCATGGTTTTGATAACTATTTTGATTACTTTATGTTTGAATACTTTTACTCTTAAGAGATCAGAGGTTGCATAAGTTGGTTTTTGAGGAAGACGGATTGCCTGATGGAACTGAAGTAGCATATTTTGCCAGGGCACAGGTAGCTAAGATAGGTCATGCATGCTTGGAGTAACCATTCAAGTATTCCTCAGTTTATTAATGTGTGTAATGATTTATTCCTTTCATTTACGTCCAGAAACTGCTCCAGGGTTATAAGAAGGGATCTGGAATTTTATGTTGCTGCTGCAATTGTGTGGTGAGCCCTTTTAAATTCTTGTACTTTCAGATTCTTGAGTGCTATTGTGAACATTTTCTTTTTACGTTCCATCTGCAGGTTAGTCCTTCACAATTTGAACTTCATGCTGGCTGGTCTTCTCGCAAGAATCCGTGAGCATATTTCCTTTAGTTTTATGACAGCTCAAAATAATCGTTGCAAGCTTTTTCATATGGATTTTTATTTTGCAGTTATGCATACATTTACACATCAAATGGGATTTCTCTGCATGAATTAGCAATTTCTCTCTTGAAGGGGCGCAAGTATTCTGCTAAGGATAATGACGACTTGTGCATAATATGTCTAGATGGTGGAAATCTTTTGCTTTGTGATGGCTGCCCAAGGGCATTCCATAAAGGTAAATCATAATATGGAGTACCATGGTTTAGACAATTTAAGCCGTAGTACTTCTTTATTTTTTCTTCACAAACTCTTTAGTCAACAGTTTATAAGCTGTTGTGTTAAATTGGCCTCCTTGTCTCGTTCAGTTTTTTGACTAATGGACTTTGTAGTCTGCCTGATTTCCGGTCCATTCCTTTGTGCAGAGTGTGCATCCTTATCAAGTGTTCCTCGTGGTGATTGGTATTGTAAATTTTGCCAGAATCTGTTCCAAAGAGAGAACCTTGTTGAGCATAATGCCAATGCTGTTGCAGCCGGAAGGGTGCATGGAATTGACCCTATTGAGCAGATAACTAAAAGATGCACTCGAATGGTTAGGAACATAGAAACAGATCTTAGTGGATGTGTGTTATGCCGGTAATAATTGCATTTTTTTCTTCTCTCAAATGTCCCTGAATAAGCTTCTCATTTTTCTTTTCGTTGTGTTATATTGTATAATGGTTTTGCTTTGATGTTTAGTATTTCCTTTTACATCTTTGAATGCAGTGGCTCTGATTTCAGCAAATCAGGTTTTGGTCCCCTCACAATTATACTTTGTGATCAGGTATCTTGTCATATCATCTTAACCTCTAGTTGATCATTCAATTGCTGTTGTTATCAACTCATTTCTAGTTCCTTGCCTATGTTGCTTGCTGTTATGCTTTTTCCGCAATTTCTTCATTTGATTTGTGGTCAGTGCGAGAAGGAATTTCACGTGGGCTGTTTAAAAGACCACAAAATGGCATTTCTTGAGGTATTGACTGAAATCGTAGTCTTGCTTTTTACTTGAAATCCTTTGTGCGGAAACAATTTCTTTCCTTGTCCAATGCCATTTTTTCCGAGATAAGAAAAAGTAAAGACCATTAATGAAATAGGAATTGCCAAGAG